ATCAAATCATCTTCCAGTTAACCAGCAGAGACAGTGGGTGTCTTGAAGCAGCTGGTGGTGCACTGAACTGGGGTTCTTCATCTCTGAAGAGAGATCTGTCTATAGATCCATGGACTGGCTCCCAGCAAATAAACATTGGGACTTTGAATGTTTCCGAAGATGGTAGTTTATAAACAGATAAAAAGAGTAGGCAAAACAGGGAGGGTAAAGGGAGAATGGGTAGGAAAGAGGGAACCAATTACATGGAACTGTGTGTGACCTCCTCCCTGGGGGACAGACAACCGAAAAGTGGATGAAGGGAGACGTCGGACAGGGCAAGATATGACAAAATACCCATTTATAAACTATCAAGGGCTCATGCGGGAGGGGGGAGCGGGGAGGGAGGGGAAAAATGAGGACCTAATGTCGGGGGTTTAAATGGAGAGAAAATGTTTTGAGAAACGATGTACAAATGCGCTTTACACAATTGATGTGTGTATGGATTGGGATAACAGTTGTATGAGCCCCTAATAAAATATTAAAAAAGAGAAGAAAAAAAAAAGAGACAAAAAGAGTAGGTAAAAAATATGCAAATGTGTTCGAGTATTTATTATCTGGGTGATATGTGGGTGGACGGGAAGAAAGAAGTGCATTCATGAAGTAAGATCCATTGATCCAGAAGCCTGCTTAATTCATTTACCTCCGCTTCTTTACGAAAGCCGGAGACATCCTAACTTATTTCGCTGTGACTTCAATTTATGGAAACTATAGTATCACTGTTAAGATGATAGGCATTGATTCAGCGACTATATTCATTCTTAAGAAGTTCAAATTTATGACAGTATTTTTTGCTTAGGTGATCCAGAACCATCGATGATTTACGTTAAAAAAATGTATGAGTACTATCAAAAACACCTTAAGGCTGTATCATTGCTTCTATTACCATTCTAGATAAATTTATTCTTGTACATGAAACTACCTCTGCTCTTCATCAGCATTCAAAGGGAGAGAAATGTAGAAACAAAAGTTGCTTACATGAAAAGTCATGAAAACTCAATTTAAATCAGTAATATATATCAGCTCTTTCAAATTGCACTGAGAAAACATTCTACATTTAAAATGTGTTTCTAAAAACATATAATTAAAAGTTAAATCAGTACAATTTGGCAACCCTGAAAGGGTTTCAGCAGCAGTCTCTATTAGTCAGTAAATACAGTTTCACTTCATAGGTGAGTAATCATTATAACTAACTGCTATTGAATTCTGGTCTATACAGGTAGTCCCTGACTTACCACATATTCAAGTTATGACAGACCACACTTTGCTAGTTTCAGCACATCTGTATAGATTATATGCAATGTTACAATATAGTGGTAAATTTATATGTAGTGTTTCCAATCCCTAAAGACAGATGAAGGTCAGATTTAAAAAGATACTGATGCTAAAAAGATTAATAATAATAATGAAAATAAATTAGGTACATGACTTATTTTGGAACCAACTTTCTGCATTATTTATATCATTTAAGCCTCAGGTAGTTTATGTGGTATTTTTTTAACCTCATGAAGCATCTTATTCACATAATTAAGTGGTCTGACTAGTACCCATGACCACAGGTACCAAGTCTAGGGCCCAAACCATTGCTTTTATGCCAAGATCCTGGTCCTGGTGGTGAAAATTCAATTAAAATATGCACAGCACTACCACTTCTTAGGTATACATTAAAAACCCAAAGCTAAAAACTCCTCTGATTATCTTTTCTTTAACTTCCAAGATGTTTTTTTTTAATTGGCAGCAGAGTGAAACAAAATGACATGTGGACAACCACACTACGTGCTAGACGGATACTAGCTTTGGAAGGTAGCTTCTGTTTTTGCTACTTTTTCAGTTATGACTTAGTGCTTTTATAAACATTTTTGACTCTTAAAGAAAATAAATTATACCCCCAGAGTATGTTCAAAACCTGAGTATCCAATTGTATCCCAGAGAAAACTATGAAATTTGAAAGCATAAGGCATAGTTTCATTTTCATCTTACCATTTCCAACCTTTGTGACCATGGGAACAGTCTCTAGATGATTCATTTTCAACTTTAATGTGAGCATACTGTGTCAGGGAAACAGAGTCCCACTGTATCCACAGATCGAAGAAAACATTTAATATTTTGTTCAATGCCTAAAATTTTGTTCCTTTTGAGAGAATGGATTATATATTTTATCGTTATTTTGGGAATTTCTAGAATTTGTAGTAGAACTTGATGGGTTTTATAAATATCACGGAGATGTTGCTTTGAACTGAGCTCACTTGCTCTTTCTTCTTTCTCATTTAAGTGTTGTTAACGCATCTTTGTCTAAGACCCACGTAACCTATTCATTTTTTCTGCCTAAACATCATTAGCTCTTGACAGATAGAGAAAAGTTCTACTGATTTAAAAATTGCTGTTCATTAATGGAGATACTTTCCTGGTCTCCTTTCCATTTCAAAGTAGGCATTGTTTTTGTTTTCCCCAAAGAACATGCTGTTCAAATAAATAGGGATCATTCAGAATTGCAACTCTGTGTGTTATTTTAGACTGAATAATTTGGTTGGTAAAGGTTTATTTGAAAATAAATTTTGAAATTATTTGCAAATGATCTCCATGCATATGATAAGTCATGGCTATATATTCTTTTCACTTTATATATACAAATACATGCATACCTAATATAGATATTGCCAAAAAAAGGTAGTTCCAATAGACATCCCTGTAATTTTAGCATTCTGAGGAAACACCTTCAGTAGTAAGAGCATTGCAAATTTATTTCATAGGAAAAATTAAAATGGTACCTCAGCCTGATCAATATTTTAATGATGTCATGTCAAGATATCACATATAGTCTTCTAATGCAGGTATTTGGCAAATGGATATGAATTCCAACTACAGTATAGATTCAAGTATAAGCCGACCCAACTATCAGGTGAGACAGCTAATTCTACCACAAAAACTGCATTAAAAATGTGCTGGAAAATGGCTTATACAGTACATTTTTCTCTTCCACCACTACCCTTGACAAAACTGTTACATTCAATCATTCATATAAAAAACAGTTTCTCTCTTTCCTCTTCCTCCCTCCCTCTCTTCTATTTCCTTCCTTTTTCTTCCTTCTTTCTTTCCTTCCACCAGTCCTCCCTCCTCCCTCCCACCCTTGCTCCCTGTGCTTTCTGTCTACTTGCCTGTCTTCTTTAATTTTAAGCACTATTTGCTCTGCTACTTATCAGTTCATTGGTAATAAATTAAATTATTTTTAGCTAACGATGTCATTTAGAAGACAATGTTCGCTGACTATATTGTGGAGGAGAGGAAGAATAATTTCCTTATAATTAAATTAAAAAATCAACAAAATGTATGACCGAATGAAACTTCAATAAGAAACAGCATAACTTTACCTACATTTTTAGCATCTGGCTTGACAGTATTAACATATTCCATAACTGGAATTTCTCCTCTGCAGAAGATAACACAATATGAAACAAGGAGAATGCCTGTCCCATACAATTGTGAAATGCATATTATTTACGTGGCTTTCATCTTGCTTGAAGAAGTAATAGTTTTAAGCACAGTCTATTATCATGTATGCAATAGATACTCACTATAAAACATAGAGTACAATGTTGATTGGAAAGGAGCAGGGCCTGAATTAATTCTGTCAAAATTAATACATGCACAACATCATGCATGCTCACGTTTGTGCCGGGAAACATTAGTAGAAATGATAAGTGGATGCAGTGAAATTTGCATCATCACTGATTGTTTCTTAGCTTTGTCAGGAATTCACTGCCTATTTGGACTCTTTAGCTGCCAACAAGATAAACAGCCTCACTTCATGCATCAATGGAAATGGTGTGTGTGTGTGTGGGGAGGGGGGGTAGGGGAGCTGTTACACATGGATACCAGTAAATATCAGGTGCTGATATTCTCATGTAATAAGTATAAATTAATGCAAAGGAACAAGGCAAGAAAATCTATGGAAAACGTACAGACAGTTCCAAAACTGGCTGATTTGTTGGAAGGAAAGGACTCCTTTTCCTTTCTTCCTATTACTCTTCCTCATCTTATTTATGACATCATATCTGCCAATCATACTGCATTGGTTCTTTCGGCTTTTGAAATTGTCTCTTAGGGAGCTTACCTCGAATATGATACCATGGTTGTTTTTGCTTTCCCTCTTTAAGCCACCATTCACTTGAACCCCTGAAACACAGGGATGTGGAACATGGCGATGCCTTAACCAGTGTTAAACAGATACTCAGAGAAATAAAAGACTATTTTTGTCTCACAGTAATTCTGTTTTCATCATTTTCCCCAGTGTTTAGAAATAGCAACTTGTTGTCATACCAGCAAAAGGAAATTGGCCAACCGTTACATCTGTGTTGATGTATTGTTTTCCTTCAAAGGATGGAAATAAATACCAATGGTATGAACAAAGAAATGTGAGGACCCATAAGGAAATGGATCATTATATGGTCTTCCCACAGCAGAGCTGGACAGAGATTATGGCAAACTTTGTCGGGTGTGTACGCTCCAAGAAGTTCAGAGATCAGGTGACCAAGGGCTGGCCTATTGAGGGTGTCCTTAGGCACACCTCCCGAGCTGCCATCAGCGGGGATGGGATTGAAATGCTCACCACCATTGAACTCTGTATTCTGCCATTACTTCCGGCTTTGAAAACGATCATTTCCACAAGTCTAAGAGTTGCATCATCTCAATGTGGTTGATATGTCCTCATGAACCATTCCTCAACCCACGCACAATTCAATAAAGCACCATTTTTTTACCCAACAGTGAAAATACCGGTGTCTGTGGACACATGTGAATGCATTTGCATTTGTATTAAATGTTTTTCTTTAAAGCAACAAAAATTGCCACATTTTGCATTTGGGGGTATTTTTTTGTGTGTGTTTGCACAGATCATTTTAAGACATTTAAGTCTCAATAAAAACACTCTTAAAACAAAGAATCTAGTAAAATATTTAGGCATGTACTGCTAAACCATTCTAGCAATTTTATTAAGCAATACCTTTATTATTTTTTGAATATTCTTAACAGACTGGAACAAAACAATTTTTTTTATTCAAAACAAAATATGCATACTGTACGCATGTCGCAGGGTTAAGTATGATGCAGAGGTTAAAGTCTGTTTGAACAAAAACAAATGCTTAGGGAAATTTCATTGCTATAAAGTTAGTAACTAAATTTTGTTTGCTAAGAGGACCTTTTCTAGAATTTTCCTTCATCTCCCAGCTACACAGCAAACATATCTGAAGTGCACTTCCCAAGTGTAGTTTGAGAATAGGAAGGAATGTAAAGTGGTTTTTTTTTTTTTTAATCATATTTTGTTTTTTGTGTTTTTTTTTAAAAACAGCCCTTATTTAACTCTTCCTTCCACTGATTCTACTGTAAACTCATAAAAAGCCTTTGTAGAAAGCAAATTCATATACACCCAGCAAGTGAAATGTTCCCACACGCAAAAGAAATAAATAAATGCACACCGGGCAATCAGATTCCTCCTCTTTTCCTTATTACCTAGAGCATATGTTAGGATGCTAAAGATTTTGCACTTTCACAAAAAAACGGCTGACCTATTTATTTATTCATTTATTTTTAAAAGAAGTTGTTCCTTTGTGATAATGCACAATCGCATATATTTTGTACCTGAAATGAATTTAAACAATATTGGGGGAAATACTGGGGTAAAAGTGTATTATATATTTTGCATACTGCAGCTGTGTGAGCATTTCTAATATCTCTTCCACACCAAAAAAAAAAGAAGAAGAAGAAGGAAAAGAAGTCCAGATTGATTCTTCAGTCTCTTTGTTCCCATTCCCATGGCCAGAGTCGGGTCGTGTAAAATTATTGCAGCAGGACTGGAATCACAATGAAAGCCAGCCAGCCTCCAGCCTCCAAAGGAGGGGCTTTCTCCCTCTACCTCTTTACATTCTGATTCCAGGTGACTGCTACTCATCACCTGACCGGAGAGAGGGGACTGGACGTCTTGGAATTGGGGACTGGAGAAACACGGTTCACCTTATAAATTTTTCCTTTTCCCTTTATCTTCATTTCAACATAAAAAAAATGTTACCTGTCTGATTCCATCTATGATGGAGAGCTCTTGTTGTTCAGCTAAAAAGGAGCCCCCACTGGGCCCTCTTGGTTCTGCTCGGTTGTGGGTTTGTGCAGCAGTGGCTCTGAAGCCCACCTGGGTGTGCACACCCGTTCACTGTGGTTACACAGACAGAAGCAAGTGGGTGTTGTCTGCTTAAGGGTATGAGAAGGGGACCAGAGGAGGAAGGGGCCTGAAAGGGTGTGGGTTCCTTGGGTAGAAGAGAGTAAGGGATTTCTTTTTTTGTGTATTTTTTCTTGTTTTCTGTTTTTTTTGTCTTTTTAAATTTTTAAAATTATTTGTTGTTGTTGTTTTTTGCTATACCACGGGGTCATAGCAATCATTCCTCTAATAGAAACTGACAGGACATAGAAGACAGAGCTATCTGATGAACATACACAATGACTAGAAATATATATAGATAGAGACAGTGAAAAGACTTAGTTTACCTCTGAGAAACCATCCCCCAAAACAAATCCTGTATTAACAAGTGCAAAAAAATAAACAAACAAATAAACAAAACGAAAGCAAATAAAACCTCCAAACATTAAAACACAGTGTATAAAATGGTGTGAGAAATTTAAGTCACTTTACAGCCTTTTAGTCAAAAAAAAGCTGTGTTTGTGTCCTTGTTTGGATTCAGGCCCATCTTTTTAAATTTTACCCTAAAGGCCTTGCAAGAAGTCGTTAAAGGGTAAAAGCACCCAGTTTCTGTTACGTTTGACAGCAGTTTCATTTTTCATGGTGGGCCAGTTGCTTCTCTGATGATGTATCATCCTTCCACTAGTCCTCATTGGTAGAGTTTTCGTCCAGTGCGTTGATGCCGCCGAAGCTCAGTTCCGTTGCATTCTGTGCTGCGGAGGCTGTGAGTACTGTATGTAAGAGAATCAGGACAAGGACACACAGTTTGAGTCTGCTGTTGCACAATCGTGTTGCTGATGATGCTGTGAGCGATGTCCTATGGCAGGAGTCACTTTTTTCTACTGTCCCTTTGGATAGGCTATTGGATTGTTCTTCTCTCCTGACATCACAGCATTCTGGTTCATCATTGGTTAGAAAGGTTTCGTAGAGCCCTGTAGGATAAAGAAAGTAGAGCGTTTTGAAAAAAGGAAAACATACAGCAAGAAGTTTACAGTAGTAACAATGAAGCTGTTCCTTAACATTCTGCAACCCAAAGTCTTAAAACAATTTAATATATGGAGACCTGGTGGCATAGTGGGCTACCCACTGAGCTCTAACCACAGGTCAGTGGTTAGAACCCACCAACGGCTCTGAATGAGAAAGAGGAGGCTTGTCTGCTCACCAAAAGGTTTAAAGTCTTAGAAACCCAAAGCAGCAATTCTGATCTGTCCTATAAGAGAGCAATGATTCAGAATCAAATCCATAGTGATGGGCTTGGTTTTCTGGTAAATATATGCATGCGGATGTGTGCACATATACACATACCCACAACGCACATACACACAATGCACATACACAACGCACATGTATATGTATGTATCTATCTACCACTTCTCTGAAATTTGTTACTTTGCCATACAGTGTGACATATATTTCGATGAGGCTGACAACTATGTCACCAATATTTCAAATACCAGCTTCATGGTAGCAGGGTTTTTAGTGTAAAAATGACTAGGAAGAAAGTCTTGGCAACATATTTCAGAGAAAACTGGGCAGAAAATACCTCATGAACAGCAGCGGAACATGGTCTGATAGAATGCTGAGAGATGAGTCCCTCAGGTTGGAAAGTACTCAAATTACTACTGGAGCACAGTTGTCTTATTAAATAGTTGACCTTAGTGATGTAAATGGAGCAAAGCTTTCATGACAGTCATTTACAGATGTGACGTGATGCAAAATAGGGAGAAATGGCTGCAAATATACTTTAATAATCAGAATGTGGAATGTACAAAGTTTGGCCCTAGGAAATTTTTCCAAAATGAAATGGAATATTCATCAGATACTCTAGGTTTTAGTGAGTTGAAATGGACTGGTATGTGGCTATTTTAAATCAGAAAATGATGTGGCTTACTGTTTGAGGAATGACAAACGTTGAAGAGAAACAGCATAGCATGCATCAAGAAGAACATTTCAAGATCTGTCCTGAAATATACTGCTGTCAATGCTAGGATACTATCTGTATGCACACAAGGAAGACCAACTTGTACTGCAATTATTTAAATGTACATACCAACCATTTAATGACAAAAATTAAGAAATTAAAGATTTTTATCCACTTCTTCAGAGTGAAATTAATTAAAAGTGCAACTAAGGTATAATGATAATTACTGGTGATTTGATGTAAAACTTGGAAACAAAGACGAAGTCTCAATAAATGGCCTTGGTGATAGTAAAGACATGAGAAATCAGATAATAGAATTTTGCAAGATCAACAACAAATTCTTAGGAAATACCCATTTTTTAAACAATGCTAAAAGCAACCGACCACATGGACCTTGCTGGATGTAATGAACAGGAATTGTATTACCTACACCTGTGGACTGAGACGATGAGCCGCATAATGTCCTCAATCATTGTAAGACCAATGGATGACTGTGGCACAGATCATCAACTGCTCATAGATAGTTCAAGTAGAAGCAGAAGAAAATTAA